CAGCATTACCTGCTAGAACAGCAGCGGGTTTTAACAGCACTGTGCTCTCACTTTGCACTAGTGTAGATTATTATGGAATTGTGGCTTAACAGAGAATTTTGTCCAGTGTAGAGAGGACTTCATACGTGGACTTTGCACAGAGGCAAAATCTGCAGGTTAGAAAACGTGGAGCCAGACTTTCTAAATGAGTTGCCTACTTCAGGAAATTCCAGTGAATGGTTAAGCTATGGTCTCACTTCAGAATCAGCTACTGATATCCTGCAAAGGGGACATAGCTATTTTGCTGAAGAAATTCAGAATGGGTTGGAGGGAGTATTACAGTGGAGCCACATATGGAGATTAAATAAACCTAAAAGGAACCTTTCTATTGGTACCATTATAATTTATAGCTGTGTATTTAACTCACAATTAAAATCTTGTACTATTTGCTAGTGGTCTGGTTAATATCATGTTAAAGTTAACACAACTATTCTGGTGATGCTAAATTGGAAAGTAATTTCTCATTCATGGGGAAATTCAGCAACTGGTATGCTGAGCTGCTGCATTCTGATTCTTAGCTACTTACATAAGTCATGTATGGGCAAATTTAGATAGACTGGCTTATGTTTAAGGACATAAGTAATTTTTATTCACAGTGTACTTATTCCTTGTTCTAGAGCTCCTGCCAAGGGTTGAGACAGTTGCTTCAACAATCTAAAAGAAATAATTCAAGTAAGTAGAACTAAAGCATTTGGACAGCTGAAGCAAGTTTTCTTGATAGCATAACTTTACTGATGCTGTTCAGTACACTCAGAAATTATTTGAAGAAAGTGAGAAACACTGAGGTGGCAAACTGCTGATGATAGAGTTGTTCAAGATAATGAAGAGGAGGGACAGATGTCATGAAGGGCAGGAAGGGATAGTGATCCAGAACAAATAGCCACTAAAATTGATAGATAAAACTCACTTGATAAAGTTACGCAAAAAGTGGAGTGTTGTATTTTCATATACACAGCAATGGATGCTAGGTTGACTGTAACTACTTGGGATAATAGTTCCTTAGACATCAGCTTCAATGTTCGGTAGTGATGAAAACAGCAGAAGAAACTGGTGAGAATTCATGGAAATGAGTAGAGAAAACACGAAACATAATTATGCTTCTGTGAGAAAGCATGCTGCACCCAGTCTTGAATACTGTCCAGTTCTGGTCCCCCAACTCAAGAAAGCACAGCAGAACTGAAAAAGACAGGTAGAGGCACAGACTCATCAGCCTGGCAGAGAGGGAAGGGGAGACAGCAGGGCTTTCCAAGTCTTTGATGTGGCATGGGAGAGCTGGACAGCAGTCTATTATTCAGTCTCATCATACATAAAAACTAGAGGGTACTAGCAGGGGGTGAGCTCAGCACAAAGAAAAGGTAATGGTTTTTCTTTCGTATAGTCTGGAATTAAGCTTTGGCCAGGAAAGTAGTGGATGGTAAAATGCTGCATAGTTTTCGAAATGAGTGGACAAGTGCACAGAAGTCAAATTCTTCAAAAGCTGGGAGAGAGCACATCCCCCCCCCCACAGGTGGCTGCGAGGTGACTGGTGGTTGTTGAGAAGCATCTCTGCATGCGAGTGCATTTCTTACTACTCCTCCCTAGACAACTGTTGTAGTCGCTCAGGATCGGGATAAGGATGGACAGTCAACTCCTCTGACCTTGTCCTGTTCTTATGTTCATTAATTCTTGAATTCTTAGCATCCCTTTGTGTCTCTCTGCTGCCCCTCTGTGAGGGAGTGAAAAACTAACTTTCCATCTTGTTTATTCGGTAACTTGTTGCTAAATTGCTGGAGTAAATTCTGCTGCCTATCACACCTCTTCAATAAATATACTCTAGCTTTTTGGCTCAAGCTTTCTGTTAAGAAAATCATGTAAACTTTTACCTTTGTGCTTGTAGATACAGAAGTTTAGCTGTGGTATGTTGCCATAATAGCTGTTGATTGTATTTCTGTCCTAGCTGGTGGCTGGCTGTGGCTTATCTTGAAGGCTGTGGCTCACCTTGAAGGCTTGCTCATATTCTCAGATTCTGCCATTTCACAATATCTGGACTAGTTAATAAAATAAATTACTTGAGTTGCTGCCTTCCTTTAGATGTACACATAAACAAAGATATGTGAATAGCCAGAATAACTCAGGACAGGCATGGTATGGGAAGTGTGCACAGGAGGGATGTACAAAATTTGATTTTGAATATGATCAAAATAAATGATCATCCTGCCCCAATGTGCAACCTACAAGGATGATACTTGTGGTATTGTGTGTCCAAATTATTATTACCAAAGAGAGGCTCTGTGTATTACCACTTTAGGAATGTCAGTCATAGCATGTGATGGGGCATCATCAGTTTATACAGGAAAAGCAACATGGCTCCAGGTTGGTCTGACCTCTCAGTGACTGTGGGCCTGGAGGAACTGTGATTGTTTCCATGCAGATTGTGCTCTTCTAAGACCAAAACAGTGATATGAGAAAAGTGCTTTATCTTGTTACCGCACACATGGACAGAAGCACTTCAGCTGTAGAGGTCAGATGAGTGTATGACGAACTTCTTAGGAGCTACAGCAATATAAATTCAAGCAACTAGTAAATCCATTACCTACCTTTGTGACCTGAAGGATGATGGACTGTAAAATGTTTTTGGGTCCAGTAAGAGTAGTGCATTCTCTACTGCATGCATAACGAAGCAAATTCCAGCTGTGTTTAACTCTGGGAAATTTGGTGTTAGTTTAAAGGAAAGTATACATTTTCTTCCTGTCTGTAATTTTTCCTGGACTGTGAGTTTTCAGTTTAGAACTATTTGAGAACTCAAAAGGGGCAACCTGATATTGTACTGAGAAACTAAGAGGTACCGGATTTCTTTATTGAAGTTACAAAGTCTAGAAACCAAAAAGAGAGTAAAAGCATCACCCTTCATGCTGAGTAACAGAATTAAATTCCTTCTGACTTGAAGGAACTGTGCTGCCTCAGGAATGTTAAAACTAACACTGACATGAATAACCTGTATTGTATATGAGCCATAATGGATTTCTGTAAACCTTACTCAAATGTAAATGAGTTTCATCTTTTTCTTTATAAAAAAAATACTGTACTGGTTGGTCAGTCACAACCAAGACTCCTTTTCAGGAGTGGTATCTCAGAGCCATTTGCTTGTTTTGCCATTAAGTTTAAGGCTGATTGGACTGTGAGATTGTGATTAACTTTAGAGTGGTGATACTTTCTCTCATGACACAAATTAACTTTGCTTCTTCCTGCTAAGCCCGCACAGATTTCCTCTGAAACTGTTCACGTATCGAAACCCTTTTCATTTACAGATTAATTGCAACCGTACTTTGGTCCTCACTTTTAGTGAGTTCAAATAATTTAGATATTCAGAGCTGATCAGGCTAGGGGTCACATATGAATGACAGCTGAACGTCTGGCAACCAAAGAAGCTTTGATGTCAGTCCAATAGGGAATCTGCTTGAAAACTCAGATACTTGGAGGTATTCAAAGAGTAAGTGAAACTCCATTGCCTTCCTGCTTTTATTGTCTGTGACTACTAACATAGCTATGAGAGTTTTGCTGGTGGAAAATGGGGAGTTGGGTGAAAAGGCTGGATGGCCAACTGTGTGCCCTGAGAAGTATATTGCTATGGAGCTGGCAGGGAGCATCTGCAATGTAAGGGCTCACCATCTGCATGCAGAAAGGAAGAGAGACTTGCTGGTCCCCATCCTATATATGACAGAGCCAGAGAGGAGGATTTAGCCTCTACTTCCTCTACTGGGATATGTCCCAGCCAAATGTGTTCAAAGCTTAACACTGGGGTCTTGACATCTTTGTTGGAGGCCTCATACAGGCTATGCCTATTAAAACACATTGGAAGACTAAACATACCTTTAAAGATTTAAGGATTACCTAGCTTTAATGCAGTTTTTTATCTTCTTACAATGCAACTCTGTTTCAAGTCGTGATAAAAACCTGGATATGTGGGAGTAGGACTGTCTAGGTATTTGAATTCCCCACCTTCCATCCCCATTTATTTGGTGGTATATTGTACTGTTTCATTTTGTGTTTTATGGATAAGGTTGACACATACAGTTTAGTAAAAGCTTTAGCACTCTGCTAAAGAACTTTAATGTAGGTTGTCTAAGGATATGTTCTGAAAATCTTATTGTTTCATTCACTAAGAACAGAGTTTATTTTCATTGCTTTTTCCTAATATTATTTTGCAAGGTGGGAACCGTTTTATGTCCTGATAACAATTGCAGTAAGCATCCAAACACATGCATATGTATGCTTTTGTGGTGTGCTTTCATGTAGCTGCATTCTGGGTTTTGGCAGTATGATTCCTGCATCATTTTCAAGGTCACTATTGGCTTCTCAGTGGATCTGCTGTCTGAGGATTATTATTTCCATTTAGTGGTTATTTTCCTCTTAATGACTCTTCTTTGTGTAGAACACCTAAAATATTCCTGTACTGCTATTTCTTCTACAGGTAAACAGGCAACACAAAATCATGTTGTACACCACAGATCAGTGTGTGATCCTGTCCCAGACGTGCTGCGCTCTTTGGGCAGCAGTATTCCTTACTCTTCCAGGCTTTGCATGTCCTATAGAAGAGCAGCACATTCCATGTTTCCTACACTTACCAAAGAATAAACAAAATGATTCTTCCAGGTGATACGAAGAAGTAGTGATGAGGAAAAGTTGTTGTGCTTGGTACGTCAGCGTGCAGGACACCACTGTCAAACTGCCGTCATCGTGATTCTCATATTGGCCTGGGAAGGGATCCCTCATCTCCTGGCTGATACGCTGTACAAAGAACTGACACAGAGCCTCAGAAAATATGGCTGTCCCCCCAGCCGTAGATGTGCATTAAATGAAGAGTAAGTTACTTTAATAATAAATGATAGTTGTGTTGCCTGTTGTATGTTCCGCAATAAATAACTTGAGAACTCAGTAGTTTGGCTAATAAAATACATATGCAAAATCCCATTTAAAATTACAAACCACTACGTGTCATCTCAGTATAGAACTTAGTTCCTGGCTTTTCCTAGAGAACAGGCTCAAAGTGATAGTGGTACATGGTACACCCAGGGAAAGGGGTGGCAGTGAACTCTCCTGGCTTTGTGCACACTGCCCAAAGGCACTCAGTGTGCCCTTTGCACGTCCATGCTAAAGAGCTGCTAAAAGGGTGATGCTTGACTTTTGGAACACTCAAAATTAGGATCTTCTCCTCTATGCCTCTGAGAGGAATTTGGTTTGACTGTTTAGATAATATATTGCAAATGAGGCTCTGTAGTATTGCTGCCTTTGTGCTGATTTTTCTGTAACCCACATTTACGAGACTCTACAGTGACCTGAATCTAATGCTTGTGTTCTTGAAGGGTCAGGCTGAGTAGAGTTGTTACACTTTGAAATTTGGAGGTAATGGTATTACCGCACGTAACCAAATAATTACTGGATTTGGGGTAACCTTGAGTTGCAGAGGTGTTTTCTTGGATAAAAATTTTATCCAACTCAGGAAGTCAAAATCAAAGTAGCATAGGTATATTTATATAGCTACAATTGAAGGTTATGTATTTATTTCCCAGAACTGCAGGTCTGGGGAGCTGAGACTGTCTTTATGGGGAAAAAAGTAATTTCTCTACACATGGATAGTTCCTTAACAGAAAATACATGGTTAAACAGTGTATTGTATAAATTCCTGTGTTGTTATGCTATGTATTAGGAAAGAAATAGCAAATAGCATTGTCAAAAAAATAAAATAAAGAGCTGTGTTGTCAGCTGACTTGATGTGTCTTTATTTCCTTTCATAGTCGTACTTGTGCATGCCAAGGACTTGATCCGGAAACTTGTGGAGCATCGTTCTCATTTGGCTGTTCATGGAGCATGTATTTCAATGGCTGTAAGTTTGCCAGAAGCAAGAACCCGAGGAAATTTAGGCTTCTCACTGATGACCCTAAACAAGTAAGATTTATTTTGTTTCTTTTATTGTTCTTTTTTTTCCCTCCAAGTACTTTGCCCACTGATTTTCAGAACTGAAAGTGGACTCTACACATGTATGCATAGCTTATAACACAAGCACCAAACTAAATGTTTTATGACTGCAATATTTATAATTTTTTCTTCTGTAAAAAACCTCAGTGTCATTTACCATGTATTTAAATACCCTAAAATTGTCTTTAAATCCTTTTCCGTATGCATATTTAGCTCCACTGTGTAACTCTTTATGAAATGTTAATTCTTTGAAAGTATAAAATGCACCTTGAAGGTGTTTTCTAAGGAGCAAGCCTGTACCTCAGAGATTCACTCCTTTTGCCTGGTCATAGAAAACCTCGTTGTTGTGCTGCTTGCACAGCTAACACCTGGTCTTCTGTATGCCACCTATAATAAACTGGTTTTTCTATGTTTTCTAACTTCTCTTGAAGGAAAAAGTACACATCACATAAAAATACAGTGCAGTGAAATGATATTGTAATTGCTACTTATGAGTGTTAGTGATGACATAAAGCTGAGATAGCACAGAAAATACGGTGATGGATTATGTGAAGGAATTAACCTCTGAAAAACCCCAACCAAATATGCTTTTTACATTGGAAATACTTTAATGAAGAAAGAATAAAAGTGTTGTAAACTGATAACTGCTGCCTGATGAACATATATTGCTCAGTGTAACTCAGAAGTGCCTTTTGTTCTGGCTGTAGATGTCTCTAACCCCACTTCCCTGTGGAACTCCTAGGTAAAAGTATCATGTCTTTACTAGTACATCTGGCATACTTTGAGACATGCATTATCAGGCAGTCAGTTACCTAGTTCTCCATTTGCGTTACCCTGCCGATAATTTTCCTTGGCTCTTGAGCTCCACTGCTGCCAAGTACAGAAAAGTCCTGGCTGGTTGAAGTCCAGAGAGTGGCAGAGGTATTCTTGCATTTTTTTCAGTGCATAGTGTACACGTACGTATGTACACACAATGTGAAACATTAATTGTTCCTTGGAAGAGAGAGATGTCAGTTGATTCACTGGAGGTAGATATTCCTCCCAAGTCCTAATTTTCTCATGAAAGAGTTGACAGAGCATCTTTTATGCACATGTGCATAAATGCAGAACCCTCAATGTCCTCTAGTTGTGCTGTCCTCTCTCATTGTGGGTATTCACAGACTTCACTAGGGCATAAGGCAGGGGATTTCTGCCTAAACAGAACAGAGTACATGAAGCCCTCCTGTCCTTCTTCTCACTGAATACATGACTAAGGCAGTACAAGCTGGAAATAGCCCTGCTTGGCTCAAGAGGGAATTTGTTTTATAAATTTTCAGTTTATAGAAAAATAAGCTTATTTGGTATTCTTTCACTTTTAAGACTCCCGTTCCTTCTCCTTTGTGCTTTTCTGTTCTCTGCAATCCTGTGTTTTTAGGTTCTCCCTCTGTGTAATGCTATGCATGGCACATTCTGTGCACGTTTTCTCTGTAGGCTTGTAATGTTTTTAATAACATTAACAGGGGCACCAGCAAAGGTGGCAACCTCCATATGTACTGTCTAGCGAAATGTTCAGCTGTGCCAGATCTCTTACGAGACAGCTCAAACAGATCTGGCTTTGATCAGAATGTGCTCTGTGAGACTGCATGTTCTGTTGGTGGCATCACTTTTTCTGAGTATGTGAAATGGCCACCCTGAGCTCCATTTGGACACTCAACAGGTAACCTGCAGACTTTTGGAGGAGAACACTTTCTACCACAGTGTAAAAGCAGTTGCCTACAAGAGAAGGTTACTTAACCAGGACATTTTCCAGATGTGATCTAGAAGTACATTCCCTTTTCTTCGCTTTTCGATGGAAGTTGTTTTAAAACTACTTTGGATTCTGCAGCGGGGATGAGGGTTGCACAGCACACAGGTACTTTACAAGTGTGTTTGCCTGTGAGGGAAACATATGCACCCTTAGGCTACCACTCTGCAGAAGCCTCCAGCTCTAGGCGACAGTGGTGCTTGGGTACTTGCAGTGTCCATGCAGGTTGTCACTGCATCTCAAAGAAGTTACATTACTGGTAAATAATTTTTCTCTTCGTTTCATTTTGTCGTTAATTTTCCTAGCAGATACTTCTTTTAGCTAAATATTGGATATTGATGATTTTGCAGATGACATAAAGCTAGGAAGTATAGAAAATTAAGAAGATAGTTCCAAGTCCAGAAAGATTTGGATCATTTGAGGCACTGGATGGAGTGAGATGAGGTTAAGGGTATAATAAATCTAGGTAAGAATAGTTCATAGGATAGATAATTAAGGATGTGTTACCTTCAGCGCAGTTCAGAAAAACTTGTTGATAAACTGGCTATAGTACAAGTTAAAAAATACAGTGTCATTTTGTAATGTTACTGTCACATTTTTCAGTGTGGTGTTTCCTTATGTTTATATACAGCGGTGTTTACAATATATAGTGATAAGTATTTTGGAAACAAAACAAAATAAGCAGTTATTTTTGCCACTATGCAGTATGCAAAACTGAAGCTTTGATTGTCATAGAATCATAGAATGGTTTGGGTTGGAAAGGACCTTAAGATCATCTAGTTCCACCCCCCCTGCCATG